GGGAATGTTGCTAAAAGCGGCATAAAACACAACTCACTCAAAGTGTACCGTTATCTACAACTCATCAGACATTTTTGCAGTTAATAACTTGACATATCACTGACTGACTGACTGACTGACTGACTGACTGAGTTTGGTTTTACGCTGCTTTTAGCAATATTCCAGCAACATCACAGCGGGGGACACCAGAAATGGGCTTCACACATTGTGCCCATGTGGGGATTCGAACCCGGGTCTTCGGCGTGACGAGCCAACGCTTTAACCACTAGGCTACCCCACCGCCCCCCTTGACATATCAAGTGGAGCTAATATGTGTTAATGGTTTTTGAAGAGCCAGTGACTGATGTAAGATGGATTCCGATTTAGCATTTACTGCATCATTACCTTAACTGGGGCATTAACTGACATGCCCAGATATAGGCTGGAAATGGGCCTCATACAGTGGAATTCAGTCCCATATCTACTGAATAAGAACTTGGTTTGCAAGCTCTGCTTGTCATATTTCCCTTCCATGTGACCTTGAAGAGTAAACCTTATCAAAATTATTGGGAACAAATTACTCCACTCAACTTTGTTTCACATGTGTAAACCAAATTGCATTATGTTGTTTTCAAGGGTAGCTAGGGGTGGGAGGGTAACTGTTGTAATGGTTGGGCTCATTTGCCCACATAGAAGTGTGTGAAGTGCTCTAAAGCAGCAACAATACTCACTCACTCAAGGGTAATTATGTGGACTTTAAGGAATTTTGAGAAAAATACATTATTTATTATTGTGTAATTTAAACGTTTTGTTGATAAATAGAATATCCACAAAATAATTGCTGTTGCTTAACTTTCTCTGATGAGTATATGTTCTTGAATTGGTATTTCGAAAAAGCAGTAAACTACATGTGTATTAAAAAATTATCTCTGTAATTTAGAAGACTGACAATCTTTCTACACTGTCAGTTCATTGTTCACGATTTGTACTACCTTTGTGTGTTTCAGCGTTTGATAACAGTATTGATGCGGATCATATGAAACAATGACTGCTGTTGTCTGTGAATGCAGCAGAGGTTATTTCTCTCCAGAACAGACATGTTGACGACACACTTCCTCCTTTATGTGTTGACTGCAACCCAACAATGCCATCTCCCACGCAGGTTTTACATAACCTTCCCATCCTTTATTCCAACCAGAATTGGCTATATATGGATGTTTTTGATTTACTTAGGAGACGGCGCATGAAATACTAAATGGGGAGTTGTTTGAGGAGGTGGAATGATCAATATGTCGGGGGCACGGTGTCCTACCTGTCCCACAGGTAAGTGCTACCTGTAATGACGATTCAGAATTTACAACTGACATTAAGTGTGCTGATAATGGATGTTTGTGTTTCAATCATTACCAGTTCTGCAATTTGATTTCAAGTTGCACTGCTAGTGTGAAAATGGCATTTAATGCCTTAAATGCAGCAATTTGCAGCTATTTGAGACAATCTGCTGCTTGTAGTTGAAGCCTGTTGTGATACTACCAAGGTGATGTTGGTCTAAACAGTGTGGCAGATGCTAATGGAATAAATGAGTTACCATTTTAAGCATCAATTAAATAAAATTCACTTGAATTTATATTGGCTAAGAGAATTATATAATAAGTATAATAGGTTACTTTGTCCTTACAGACTGTCATATTGCAGTTGTTGTTTTTTTTATATGGCCACATAAAACATATACTATTCACACTTTGCTAGGGATCAAATCATTGATTCAACAGAAAACTATGATGTGGGGTCAAATTTGGTTTAAATATCTAAGCCTATTGTAAGCATGGATCCAAGTTTTCAGTATCTCACTGCATCTTGTGGATCCCATACCTGCTATTGACAGGTGTTGTGTACTTGTCAGTGACCCGTGACATGATTTGCAAAATGGTTGATTGGTGCCATGAAAACCATTTTTATGGTTATACACATTCATGGGTGGAAATAACTATAAAATTGCAAGTGTACTCCGGTACAGTGGCACATGTAAAATCACTTGACCTGATAATTTGTCCACTTTACCGTCCGTTTTCTTGTTGAATTTTGAAATAAACAACATAATTAACGTTGGAATGTCAACTGGACACCGGTACAGTGTGATATACAAATTTGCTTGCCCAACAGAAAAAAACACTGGACTCGGACGTCGGGCAATGGGTTATTTCCACCCCTGACACATGTATCAAGAGCATACGGCTAGCTTAAAGTGACTGTTTTCCTAAAGATGTGTTACCATATCATTATTTATCCAGTTTTAAAAGGATACAATTTCAAATTATAAATCTACGTTTAAGTAAAGTTGCGATTTGTTGTGATCCTTAGCAAAGTGTGAGTAGTATATTCATCCACACTGAGACTGTCACAAATTTGATTGACTCCAGCTGTACCAATTTCTGAAACATCTTTAAAACCACAGGGTCCGAAACTACTGTAGTGGTGTGTATTATCGGTAGACGACTAACTATAGGGTAATCATGTGAGCATTTATCTTCCTTCAATGTCAGGATGTGAGTAGACAAACCAGAGGGTGATTGTGAGAACATGGATCCTCTTTCAACATCAGGATGTAAGGAGACACATGAGGGTGATAGCGTGAGTGGGGATCCAGACCAGGATGAAAGTGGACAAACCAGTGTGTGATACTGTGAGCATGGATTCAGGCCAGGATGTGAGTTGACAAACCAGAGGGTGATAGAGTCAGCATGGATCCAGGCAAGACTGCGAGTGGACAAACCAGAGGGTGATACTGTGAGCATGGATCCAGGCCAGACTGAGTTGACAAACCAGAGGGTAATAGTATAAGCATGGATCCAGGCCAGGATGTGAGTGGACAAACCAGAGGGTGATAGTGTAAGCATTGATCCAGGCCAGGATGTGAGTGGACAAACCAGTGTGTGATAGTGTGAGCATGGATCAAGGCAAGACTGCGAGTGGACAAACCAGAGGGTGATAGTGTGAACATGGATCCAGGTCAGGATGTGAGTGGACAAACCAGAGGGTGACAGAGTGAGCATTGATCCAAGCCTGGATGTGAGTGGACAAACCAGAGGGTGATGGTGTGAGCATGGTTTTAGGCCAGACTGTGAGTGGACAAACCAAAGGGTGATAGTGTAAGCATGGATCCAAGCCTGGATGTGAGTGGACAAACCAGAGGGTGAAGGTGTGACATGGATCCAGGCCAGACTGAGTGGACAAACCAGTGTGTGACAGTGTGAGCATGGATCCCAAAATGGTAACTAAGCATGAGTGCAAAACAAAATGTGAAACACAGTAATGTGTTCTTTTGAGTTTTTGAGTAGTATGTATACACAACAATGAAAATTGTTTTCTGTGCTTATCTGCAGTGTATCATCATGATAGAAGGTACCTCGTAAACAACTGGAGTTTAACACTGATATTGTGTGGGTTGCACCAAACCAAGCTACATGTACCTGGTGCAATGTGATAATGCCAGCAGATCAATTCATGTGACCAACTACCTGTGTGTAATGGTTTCTTCCAGATTTCAATAAAAAACAGTAAACATGTTCTACAAATTGAGTTTAATTTTCTGTCTTAGTAGTCATTCATAAACATTTCATCACAGGCAATAATCGGTCAATATATGTACACACATACATACGTAACACTCAGTTAAACTACTAAATGACTATTCCATATACATAGAAGTGAACAATGAGTCGTTACCACTGACTTCATCCAATCACCATACAGAGTGTCCACCCCAGGTAGTATGTGGCAATAATGACCCAGTCAGTGACTTCTACCACTAGTATGAAGCCATGAGTGAGTGAGTTTGGTTTTACGCCTCTTTTAGCAATATTCCAGCAACATCACGACAGAAGAAGCCATGAACAACTACTGAAAATGACACACGATGCCAAGTTCTGGCAAATATACATAAAAAAGTTTTGTAACAAACTGATTACCCCTTCTGCTGTAATCCAAAACAGAGACATCACTGATTAGCTGTGGATGTTTCAGACTGTTCTTCATCAGGGTTGGTTGGCTGGTTGTTTAATGCCGTACTCAGCAATATTACAGCTCTATGGCGGTGGTCTGTAAATAATAAAATCTGGACCAGACAATCCAGTGCTCAATGTCATGAGCATGGTTCTACGCAATTGGGTATACGATGACATGTGTCAACCCAGTCAGAGAGCCTGACCACCCGAGTCGTCTCTTCTAACAAGCATGGGTTACTGAAGACCTATTCTAACCAGGATCTTCATGGGTATTCTCATCAGGGTTAAAACTGAATAGGGCCATGAGTCTTAACAAAGTTACTGGTTTTGTATGATCATGTTTCCCTTGCTCTAACCAAATTATTTCACATTAGTTCTAACATTGAAAACATCTAGTCATTAGTCCCATGTCTATCACCACAATGAAACAGGTGTGATGACAGTTGTTTCATTACATGGTGATGGAGAATTGGTTTGGCACAAGATGAATGTGAAGAACAGAACCCCAACTAATGGTGAAAGCAGTAGTGAACCAGCCCGCACTCCCACCATCATGGGCAGCAACTCCACAACAAGGGACATGATGATGCCCTTATTCAATCTGATAACAAAATAATAATTTCACAGATAATATATATAGTTCATAACTACCTATTCAAATCTTATACATTAAAAAAAAAACTAACGAAGTGTGGTGATGTTTGCACTCGAGCCTACAACCAGCAGATCCTGTCAAACTAAGGTATACAACTGAGCACTGAGTACCTTGTCAGTACAAGTGACTGACTGAGTTTGGTTTTACGCCGCTTTTAGCAATATTCCAGAAACATCACGGCGGGGGACACCAGAAATGGGCTTCACACAATGTACCCAAGTGGGGATTTGAACCCGGGTCTTCGGAGTGATGAGCCAACGCTTTAACCACTAGGCTACCCCACCGCCCCCGACAGTACAAGTGGTCCAGTTTACTACACTACTATTGTGAAACCAACAGTAATGCACGATCCAATGCTTAAATTAAAGATAAACTGTTTTATTTCCGAATTTCCTTCACTGTCAACAAATCTGCTGAGGATGACTACTGGGTTATTTTCAAAAGTGGCATTGTATTGGAATAGTATCCCACACTATTGCAAAAAGTATCATAATTGTTGTCAACTGTTACAGTAGTATGGAGATAGTTTTAAACAAGTTGTATGGCTGATGATTATATTACTCAATGTTACAGAAATGAATAAAGAATTGCCGACCATGCCAAAGTCGGCCAAATCTAATCTGAAGTTGTCTTCATTCTTGCCAGACAACTTTGGACACATTTGACATGCAACTGTATAAGAATTTTTAAACACGTAAGCTGTTTTATTTATAACTAACTGTGAATATTGTCACTATTGATTGACACGCATATGATCGACAATATGTTTAAACCCCTCCCGTTATACTAATATTGTAGATTGTAATATATTGATGTTTGATACACTCCTAGTTGATGTACTGGTCATATTTTCATAACGTAATGCAGTAGGTAATCAGTACTCTCACTGAAGTATGTGATACGTGGAAATAACTCCCTAATAGAAGACCACTGTTCAGCCAATGAATTCACTTGAATTCAAAATGATCTGACCGTAGTATTTGATACATTGAAAAAAACTCCATAACAGAAGACCACTGTTCAGCCAATGAATTCCCTTAAAATTTAAAGTAATCTGACCGAAGTATGTGATACATGGAAATAACTCCCTAACCAAAGACCACTGTTCAGCCAATGAATTCACTTGACATCCAACACAATAATTCCTAAAGAAAGGCAGCAACTCAAGCTTCCTGCCATCTAATCATGCACACCTTGAACACTTCGTGTATTTACAGCTCACATTTGATACATAATATTCATCTTGGTAGTAATAGTGCTGCAGCAAAATGCTTTGATGTGATTGGCTTATATAATCAACGACATCATCTGCGGAATGGATTCAGGCCCCAAGACCCCCCAACTTTTTTCTTTTGTTGATCCTTCTGAATCATGAGCTGTTTTTCCTGCTCTGCCTGAAAAAGAACAGAGATGTGATAAATAATGCTCATACCACATTAAGTTGCTATATATCAATCCCAAACCATGACCAGTTGCAGGCATAATATCTGGTCTCACTGCTGATTGGACATAATGTTTCAGTAGCATCAACATCATGGATTAGTAATAGGAACATACTATTTTTGCTGTACCCAGAAACCGTTTTCTTCAATCCAAAGATAGTGAGTGAGTGAGTGAATTTAGTTTTACGCCACACTCAGCAATATTCCAGCTATATGGTGGCGGTCTGTAAATAATCGACCAGACAATACAGTGATCAAAAGCATGAGCATCATTCTACGCAATTGGGACACGATGACATGTGTCAACCAAGTCAGCAAGCCTGACCATCCTGTTAGTCACCTGTTACGACAAACATGGGTTACTGAAGACCAATTCTAACCTGGATCTTCATGGGTCAATCCAAAGATAGATTAGCAGGCAACTAGTTAGTCATCACACTTGAAAACCATTGTGTGTTGCAAAGGTTTGATAAACTATTTAATGACATGCCGGTAAGAGGGCTAATATACCATAGTCAGGAGATAACCATAGTCACTGGAAAATCTTGACAATAACTGGACAAATTTATCTATTGTTTCACTAGTGTTGGTCCGATTAATTGAAATAATCGAAGATTGGTCGCAGCGACTAAACGACCAAACAATTGATCATGTTTTCTCATAATCGAACACAAACAATTCTGGAACACTTTTTGCATTAACAATATTTTTCACACAGTTGGTTTTGTCTGTTAAATTTCATGAGCATTACAAGCTCGTTCCAAGTGACAATTGAATTTATCTTTAAAACCCCACGAAATTTATGTTCCTAAGATACTAGTCATCCTTTAAAGATGTGCAATTTGCAAAATCACCCCAAAGAACAACATGTTTTTTCTTTATGTTTTGTGCTTTTACAAAAATAACCAGGAACATTTCATACATGACGCTAACCAATTATTTTCGACGATTGATCGGTTGTAATGAACCAATCATCAATTATGAGATTTTAACCAATTCCCAACACTATGTTTCACAGGGAACTACTAAATAAAAGAACCAAATTGATATTTGTGATGGGATTTATCATTTTCCCTTTTGTTATGTATAATTTAAGCAAACAAAAACTTTTCACATCTTTTTAAAATATTTTGTAATGAGTAATATACCTTTGTGATCTTTCATATGTATTTTTCATCAGACACACCTCCAAATCCTTGAAAAAGCAATCCTCAACATTGAAACAGCATTGTTGAACAAGTCTTCCTCTATCAAATGATTTATTTCATGTTTAGTTCAATGTCCTTATATAATAAATTACACATAATCTGTCTCACTGGGAGATAACCTCATTTGATCTTTAACAATTTACACCATGTTTCTCGGCAATAACTTTTAATTCTCCCGAAGCGTGGCCACCATTGAACAAGTTGTTTCTGTTGCTACAGTTTTTGTAAATGCTTCCGTGAAGAATTTGAAGGCACAGGGTGGTGAGATTGAGATTACATGACAGGGTTTATCGGAACAGGATAAATCACAAAGGCACAGGACTGATTTATGTTATGACAGACCTTTTGGAACTATTGTAAACAGCTCTACCAGCCGTGTGTTGGACAGCAGCAGCTGGGAAGACCGCCTTCAATAGCCACCTTACTCTGGTAATACTTCCCAACCTGATTTATTGGGCAATACAATTAAGTCATCAAGTGTGGCAATAAATACTGGATTGCAAGTTCTTTTCTACAAAAGGAGGCTTTTGAAACAAGTTTCTCCAACATGTGTAACATATTTTACGGCAAGTTTTCACAGTACATGATTTTGACAACATATGCTTCCTTGACAAACTTTATGATTAGACTAATTTATTATCGCTTCAACGGCATCAACACACAAAGACGGCTCCACAAGATAACACTTCTTAGCCAAGGAAACATGCAGGAATAGTTGAATACTTTCATTATTATATGATTAGAGATCTTTCCACAATCTATTTACAGAAAATACTAGGTCAGAAAACATATAATAAATGTATTTAATTACTATTATTAGTATTGGAATCACCGAAATAAGATATTCAAAGACGTTTATTCATTGTATGATGGGGATTTGTGAGGGTGTATTGAATATACTTGATATATTGTATATGAATATTTGTATGAATATACTTATGTGAATGCATTCTTCATGTACTATGTAAAATGTGGAAATAAAGATAATAAAAAAAAAAATTAATTTTTTTATATGATTAGAGGTGTAATGATTGGTATCCAAATAATATGGGTGCAATACAATTCGTATCTCGATACAGTACTTTTATTTCATACGTTTATATTGTCTTCCTTTCTGCAGGTGAATCACAGCCCTGAATCATTTTGTTTTGTTTATTTCTCAGACAGCAAAGATAAGATATTCTAGGAGAGAAACATAAGCTTTTGGGCAGATTCTTTTATTCATAGCCAACCAGAAAACACTACTGAATCTATATAAACTGGTTCCTGAACAGTTTCTGTTATTATTCATGAGCTATAAACCAATATGGCTTGTAATGTAATGTATCATATGCATAGTGAAACAGTAAGTCGATGTATTTATAACTTTGAAGGGGAAGTGAAATGGGGTTTAACGTCGTGCTTAAGAATATTTCGCTCACATGATAACGTACATGCATGTGTATGTGTGGCTACTTGTACTAGCCCAGACTTCAGCTGGTTTTATAGTGCCAGTACGCTGAGATACCATGCCGCAGTTAAGCATGAATAACCCACTCAGACACATTATACTGACTCTGAGCTGACCAGTCCTTGTAGTACCCATTAATGCTGAGCACCAGGCAGGGACCAACAAATACCATATTTTAACGTCTTTTGGTATGACGCGGCCCGGGGATTGAACCCGCCACCTTCTGCTCTGTGGGCGGACGCTCTAACCACTGCACCATGGAGGTGGTTGTGAAGGATCATAACTGATAAGATTCTGAAATTTGATCCCATGATCAAGCAGATCCTAATCTGACAAAGGGAAACAACTCTCAACTACCCCATAAAGTATAGATATTGCTATTGCAAAGCAGAACCTCTATCTGATCTGAGGACGAAGACTATGCAACACATTTTTCTCTCTGAATTTAACTGATAATAATTAAACCAGGTACTCCCCCATAACAAGCAAACACAACAACTACTGTTCCATTTGATCAGCAGGAAGGGAAAGATGTTACCTGTAGTTTCCTCTGGTTCTCCTTGAACATCTCGAGGGGGTTGTCAAACTTGCTGTAGTACTCCATCACTGGTCGGATGTCTTCTACGCCACTTGATGCCAGCGCTGGAACATCAGCATTTAGATGAGGTATGATGAACAGGGAAGATAACTCTTTGGAGATATAAGTCTCTTTCACAATGACAGCAACAATGGGTGTATATAATAGAATCGAATCGTCACGCTAATTGTTATAAAGAAGGTGTAAATCCATAGAATTATCTCCCTTGTTTGCTTTGATGAACCCAACTAGCATGGGTATGGTGCTGACAAACCTAAGAACACTCAGGATTCGAACCCAGAATAGTAGGTCTCCTGTAGGCTAAACAGAATGTCCCTGTACAACTAATTCCAGCAGAACTCCAACGACAGGCCCCCCATGGTGCCATCTTTAATACAATTACAAACAGCTTTGACATGAACCATACAGATCTACACAACCCACCCTAGCAGTTCATGTCTTTATTGTTACTATAAATCAATTTCAACATGACTTACATACCCTACGTAGTCACCTCTTACAATGATAGGATATTCAGAATTTGCTTCTGTGACCCCTCTTCACTGCATAGACTGTGGGTTGAGTTATGTCTAAAATGTAGCAGGCTTATCTTAAAGAGGTTTTATTTCCCTATTACAACCAGCAGGGCAGTCTCATGGAGGAAATCCCCAATCAACTGTTCTCGTGCACATCTCAGATGAGATCGTGCAATGTCTACAGATTAAAAGGAGCCAAGATACGTTAAAGAGAACTGATGAGCTGTGTCCTGCGCTCACCTGGCATAATGGTCAAGATACATTAAAGAATGTTATGGCCCCCAGTTCAAACTGAGGTCTAATGTCTAAAAGAGAAATGACCAAATTATACCAAATTTAACTACTTTCAATAATTCCAAATTTTCATATTAATAGATTGAGTCTCTGTGTGAAGAGGCTATTTGTGTATAAACTATTCTTTAAAATAGTTTTTGACATATAAAGATAGATGTTGTGGGCATGATTTGGTTAGCCATTTTTCCATGCCCTCACAAATTGCCTAAGCTATGGTTGGTTTGTTGTTTAATGCCTACACTCAACAATTTTCCAGCTCTGTGGCAGCAGTCTGTAAAGCTTCACGTCTGGACCAGACAATCCAGTGATCAACATCGATGAGCATCAATCTACACTATTGGGATACAATGACATGTGTCAACCAAGTCAGCGAATCTGACCACCCAATCCCGTCAGTCACTTCTTACAAGTATGGGTTACTGAAGATCAATTGTAACCCGGATCTTCACGGGTCCCGACAGCTATGGAGAGAAGTCTGTCAACTCCTCACTGTCAAGTGAGTGAGTATGGTTTTATGCCACTTTTAGCAATGTTCCAGCAATATCACGGCGGGGGACACTAGAAATGGACTTCACACACTGTACCCATGTGGGGAATTGAACCCGGATCTTCAGCATGATGAGCAGACGCTTTACCCACTAGGCTACCCCACCCTCACTGAGTCAAGAGTCAGTGTTGCTGATATGAAGAATAGAGAACTGCTTACTCAGAATAAGTGTTCTCCATTTCACATATAAAAATACAACCAATCTGCAATTTCCTCAATGAGGTTTATTTGTTAAAAATGTTTTATGCTAATACAGATATTCAAAAGCTATTAAGTATACTTTAGTCCTACTTACGCACCAGTGTTTCTAGTAAAATGTAAGAGAAGGTGAGGTTTGTAAAGAGAATGATGAGGATCTCCAAGATATTTTGTGTTTAAAATATTTGTTTTACTTGTCACAGAATTACCTTTCTTAAGATTTGTTAAAACAGAACAGTTCCTTGGATGACAATGAGCAGTAACAAAGTTTTAATGTAATTTTACCTCTCCAGGATCAAAGGCCAAATGAGTTTTGTCATACTCTATCCATCAGTCAAGTTCTTCTTACTCGCAAGTCTGACTGTTTGAATGAATATGTTCAGCAAAAGTGCTTTGTCTCTCTTTGTTTTAATTCTTGAATTGAAAGGTTTGGCAGACTCCAAGAGTGGGTATATAATAATTAACATTGACATCTAATGCTCATAATGATGTTTTAAACATTGTTCACATAGAAAGAGCATCCTTCAGGGTTAGAACAAGTCATTTGTTCAATTCCATATAGTGAACCAATTCATGACACAATGTGGACCAGCATATCTTCATAAAGTTTCTACCTGTGAAGGTCCGGGTTAGAATGAACCTTCAGTAACCCATGCTTGTCGTAAGAGGTGACTAATGGGATCGGATGGTCAGGCTCGCTGGCTTGGTTGACACATGTCATCGGTTCCCAATTGCACAGGTCGATGCTCATGCTGTTGATTGTCTGGTCCAGACTCAATTATTTATAACTATATCCATACAGCTGGAATATTGCTGAGTGCCGCGTAAAACAAAATTCACTCACTCATAAAGTTTCTGAGTCCTAATCATCTGGTTCATCCCTTTAGCCGGTTCCGAAAGAAGTTAAATTTCATGACTTACTTCCATTGAGCATTAAGCACATCAAAAGCTCACAGAACAATCCTGGCCTATACATTTTGTATCGTGAAATCAGCCAAAACACAGAAACAGTTATATAGAGATAACTTAATAATCACATGATATTTCATCCTATATGCAGACTTCGGGTCACCTCCCTTTAAAGGACTGGGTTCCAGTATATGTTGATAACAGCAGTCATACACTGAACACATCATAAGCTCACTGAACAATCTTGGCCATTATGCACATTTTGTATTAGGAAATCAGCAAAAACATATAAACAGTTATGAAGGTAACTTAATAATCAAATTGGGGCAGTGGGGTAGCCTAGTGGTTAAAGTGTTCGCTCGTCACTCCAAAGACCCGAGTTCGATTCCCCACATGGGTACAATGTGTGAAGCCCATTTCTGGTGTCCCCTGCCATGACATTACTGGAATATTGCTAAAAGTGGCATAAAACCAAACTCAGTCAGTCAGTAATAATCAAATGACATTTTTTCCTAACACTCTTTCAAGGATCGAACATAAGGGTTCCAATATACACTGATTGTAACACAATACGATGGTTGTATCTCCCATACAGTGTCAACTGGCAATTGTATCTCCCATACAGTGTCAACTAGCAATATTCCTCCGTACCATGAACCTACATTAGCCCTTAAGTCCAGGGTTGGACTGCAGCAAGTCTGTATCTCCCATACAGTGTCAACTAGCAATATTCCTCCGTACCATGAACCTACATTAGCCTTTAAGTCCAGGGTTGGACTGCAGCAAGTCTGTATCTCCCATACAGTGTCAACTAGCAATATTCCTCCGTACCATGAACCTACATTAGCCTTTAAGTCCAGGGTTGGACTGCAGCAAGTCTGTATCTCCCATACAGTGTCAACTAGCAATATTCCTCCTCATACCATGAACCTACATTAGCCTTTAAGTCCAGGGTTGGACTGCAGCAAGTCTGTATCTCCCATACAGTGTCAACTGGCAATATTCCTCCGTACCATGAACCTACATTAGCCTTTAAGTCCAGGGTTGGACTGCAGCTAGTCTGTATCTCCGCATACAGTGTCAACTTAGCCTTTAAGTCAATATTCCCCATCCCATACCAACTGAACCTACATTAGCCTCCCATTAAGTCCAGGGTTGGACTGCAGCAGTCTGTATCTCCCATACAGTGTCAACTAGCAATATTCCTCCCATTACCATGAACCTACATTAGCCTTTAAGTCCAGGGTTGGACTGCAGCAAGTCTGTATCTCCCATACAGTGTCAACTAGCAATATTCCTCCGTACCATGAACCTACATTAGCCTTTAAGTCCAGGGTTGGACTGCAGCAAGTCTGTATCTCCCATACAGTGTCAACTAGCAATATTCCTCCGTACCATGAACCTACATTAGCCTTTAAGTCCAGGGTTGGACTGCAGCAAGTCTGTATCTCCCATACAGTGTCAACTAGCAATATTCCTCCGTACCATGAACCTACATTAGCCTTTAAGTCCAGGGTTGGACTGCAGCAAGTCTGTATCTCCCATACAGTGTCAACTAGCAATATTCCTCCGTACCATGAACCTACATTAGCCTTTAAGTCCAGGGTTGGACTGCAGCAAGTCTGTATCTCCCATACAGTGTCAACTAGCAATATTCCTCCGTACCATGAACCTACATTAGCCTTTTAAGTCCAGGGTTGGACTGCACAGTGTCTGTATCTCCCATACAGTGTCCAGGGTTGGACTGCAGCAATATCTCCCATACAGTGTCAACTGGCAATATTCCTCCGTACATGAACCTACATTAGCCTTTAAGTCCAGGGTTGGACTGCAGCAAGTCTGTATCTCCCATACAGTGTCAACTAGCAATATTCCTCCGTACCATGAACCTACATTAGCCTTTAAGTCCAGGGTTGGACTGCAGCCATACAGTGTCAACTGTATCTCCCATACAGTGTCAAGGGTTGGACTGCAGCAAGTCTGTATCTCCCATACAGTGTCAACTGGCAATATTCCTCTACCATGAACCTACATTAGCCTTTTAAGTCCAGGGTTGGACTGCAGCTAGTCTGTATCTCCCATACAGTGTCAACTAGCAATATTCCTCCTCGTACTCATGAACCTACATTAGCCTTTAAGTCCAGGGTTGGACTGCAGCAAGTCTGTATCTCCCATACAGTGTCAACTAGCAATATTCCTCCGTACCATGAACCTACATTAGCCCTTAAGTCCAGGGTTGGACTGCAGCAAGTCTGTATCTCCCATACAGTGTCAACTAGCAATATTCCTCCGTACCATGAACCTACATTAGCCTTTAAGTCCAGGGTTGGACTGCAGCAAGTCTGTATCTCCCATACAGTGTCAACTAGCAATATTCCTCATTAGCCTTTAAGTCCAGGGTTGGACTGCAGCAAGTCTGTATCTCCCATACAGTGTCAACTAGTACCATGAACCTACATTAGCCTTTAAGTCCAGGGTTGGACTGCAGCAAGTCTGTATCTCCCATACAGTGTCAACTAGCAATATTCCTCCGTACCATGAACCTACATTAGCCTTTAAGTCCAGGGTTGGACTGCAGCAAGTCTGTATCTCCCATACAGTGTCAACTGGCAATATTCCTCCGTACCATGAACCTACATTAGCCCTTAAGTCCAGGGTTGGACTGCAGCAAGTCTGTATCTCCCATACAGTGTCAACTGGCAATATTCCTCCGTACCATGAACCTACATTAGCCTTTAAGTCCAGGGTTGGACTGCAGCTAGTCTGTATCTCCCATACAGTGTCAACTGGCAATATTCCTCCGCACCATGAACCTACATTAGCCTTCCAGAGTTGGACTAAGTCCTTGCATAGTCAAGAAAAACACTCACTTTCAACATGCTCTTCTCATCTATCTGAAAACCAGCGAGGATTGAAAACTAACTAACAAATTCAGAGCTGTTAACATTGCAAATGCTGGGGAAAAAATGTTTCAAAACAGGTAAAGTGTTATTCATTATCCTAATAATATGAGCTGGGTACTCTTTACACCCAAGTATTTTTTAATGTGATGTTAATACGTTTCAGATATACAGACTTCCTACTGGTCAAAAGGTTGGTCACATGACCGGTGTATAAGCACATAACACACAAAGTGAAAGTCATTTCCTTATTAGCACCATGAGATGAAGAGTGACATCATCCAGCGAAGGAAGAAACACCTTGCAGCCAAGCCAACACAATCGTGGTGGACCTTTTACCGACCCTGTGAAGATTCTGAGAGTAGCCTGTCATGTGTGGAGGCTCATGAGAATAACTTAGGCAAGGTTTGTTTGTTTTTTTAATGCCACACTCAGCAATATTCTACTAAGTTATATGATGGCAATCTGTAAATAATCGAATCTGGACCACACAATCCAATGACTGACATCACAAGCATCCATCTCAACAACTGGGATACAAAACCAAAACCAAATCAACACGATTACCCGGGCCCATTAGTCACTTTAATGACAAACATAGGTTGCTTAAGTCTATGTTAAGGTATGGGAGTTACGGTCACCTTAACGCTAAGACTACATAAAGTCTATGTTAAGGTATGGGAGTTACAGTCACTTACAGTCACCTTAGCGCTAAGACTACATAAAGTCTATGTTAAGGTATGGGAGTTACGGTCACCTTAACGCTAAGACTACATAAAGTCTATGTTAAGGTATGGGAGTTACGGTCACCTTAACGCTAAGACTACATAAAGCCTATGTTAAGGTATGGGAGTTACAGTCACTTACGGTCACCTTAGCGCTAAGACTACATAAAGCCTATGTTAAGGTATGGGAGTTACGGTCACCTTAGCGCTAAGACTACATAAAGTCTATGTTAAGGTATGGGAGTTACGGTCACCTTAGCGCTAAGACTACATAAAGCCTATGTTAAGGTATGGGAGTTACGGTCTCCTTAGCGCTAAGACTACATAAAGTCTATGTTAAGGTATGGGAGTTACGGTCACCTTAGCGCTAAGACTACATAAAGCCTATGTTAAGGTATGGGAGTTACGGTCACCTTAGCGTTAAGATCGCTTTATACAGCGGCACCCAGTTCTTCAGGCAAGGCAATACAGGAATCAAGATTACAGTGATATATGTGTGTCTGTCTGCTTGTGAAAGTCCTGCCTAATGTTGTTCTCATGTTTTGCTAGCCCATGGAGATACCGTTCCGCATTTATATATGTATTCCCATCACAGACACAGAACACGGACTCCAACCCACCTAGTCTTTGTTTTATGCCCTTGATGCTGAACACCAGACAAAGTGACAAGTGTCATTTCATAACACCCTTTGGTGAGACCAGGCCAAGGAACAAACCATTCCATTCTGAGCAGGTGTTCTATCCACTGGACTGACTGACTGACTGAGTTTGGTTTTATGCCGCTTTTAGCAATATTCCAGCAACATCACGGCGGGGGACACAAGAAATGGGCTTCATACAATGTACCCATGTGGGGATTCGAACCCGGGTCATCGGCGTGACGAGCGAACGCTTTAACCACAAGGCTACCCCACCGCCCCCTATCCGCTGGACCACCTAGGTGGTTGGTTATCATCTGAAGCTTGTTGCTTGTTATGATACACAGATGGCACTCGCTCTAACTCCATTACTTACAGGCTGTCCTCACACACATGTAATATGGCTGACTGAGTGAGTGAGTGAGTTTGGTTTAACGCCGCTTTTAGCAATATTCCAGCAATATCACGGCAGGGGACACCAGAAATGAGCTTCACACATTGTACCCATTTGGGGAATCGAACCCGGTCTTCGGCGTTACGAAGCGAACACTTTAACCATCAGGCTACCCCGCAGCCCCTATGGCTAACTGAGGCATAATACCCACTTTAATACCATAATAAATGTAACAAAATTTCCAGATGATAACAAGTTGTAATAACACTTTTCTCAGACTGTAGTTCTTGGGTTAATAGGCCTCCATGTTTGCATGGTTGACATTGTGTCTTTGATGTTTAATGCTTTAGTGAGCAAAATTCTAGCATTTTATATGAGAGCTGTCTGTAAATAATTGAGTCTGCACTAGACAGTGCAGTGATTGACACCATGAGCATTGATCTACACAGTCTTAGAATACAGTAACATACATCAACAAAGTCACCAGGCCTTACCACCAGATCCAATCAGTCGCTTCCTAGAACAATCTTGCAACCCAGTTTCATCACCCTGGGCTATCAACCTGACTCACTACAGTTCTAGGGCTGATCCTGATATGGGTATGATGATATACCAATATAGACAGCCCATTGCTGGATAAAATCAAACCATTTAGCATAAGCTATAGGTTCACCATATTCTCAATTCTATAATAGTACTATATAACATTAGTCAGACCTAAAAATTATTTCAGCCGATTCTAGTCATCTAGAGTGAGTGAGTGAGTTTTGAAGGCACATCATACACAAGGAGCATAGACCCAGGTCCATGGTGAGAAAAATGTAACTCGATCCACCACACTTATTCTTCAAGGCTTAACAAGTTCAATTATATGAAATAATCACCTAGGGGCACCAAAAAAGGACATTATATTCTGTAAGTCAGCAATATACTGTCCTGAAGTCTGTACCTGATAAACAAGTTGTGATAGCTGACTCACCGACTGCTGTGTATATCACAAGATTTGATAGAAATGCCACAGAAGTTCAAAGCTGGCTTGATATGTGAATATTTCAAAGACTTTCTCTGTCCTATCCCTGTTATGACATATCATTAACAACTGAAGATCTGAAAATTCTAATCTGTATCACATCTGTCGGATGTTAACACGTGAGCAGAGCTTAATGAAGATGTTTTGTCTTCTACCTGAAGTAAAAGGTGTTAAGGATAAGAAGTGATTTACAGCTGTCTCGGCACTCAGCAATATGTCTGCCATGTTACAACTGATATGTAATATGTGAATATATGAAACATGACCACAAATATTACCATGCTACAGAGTATAATCTAAACTGTGAAGAATATTAAAAAATGTTATCAATAAAACAACATAAATATGGGCTTACATTGCCAAGGAGGAAAGTTAACTTACAACACAAAGTACCATGTGGATGAACACATGGGTCCAGTCCAACAAGGCAGCCTCTGTGCTATGACTATCATAAGCCATTATCTTACTTTGCACATAAATGTCGCTTTCTGATTGGCTGAGCGCTCTTCCATTATTTTCAATGTACCCCGCTTACAAGCGAGTAACATTTCAATGTATCCCGCTGTCAATGGCATCTCATTTGGTACTTCATGGTAGTAATTCTTTATCTCGAATTACATTTAATCACGTATGATGTACGGAAATTACCGATGTTTTGCGAATGCAAATCGATGGAAGGGAGATAACTCTAAATCTGTTTTTTTCTTGTCAGCAGAATCTAGAGATGGCTACAAAAAGATTTGTACCCATGCTTCAAACAATTCAAAATTAACATTAAGGTGTTCGGTAAGATAATACGTTAGTTCATTGAATCCCTCGGGGCCCATGAGTTGATGTACCTCGATGTTTGTTTATGTTCCTAAGCCCTTCGGGCTCAGGTAACATAAACAAACATCGAGGGCACATCAACCCATGTCCCCCTCGTGACCAGTGAACAAGTTATAATGTTAAGGTATAGGAATCACCTTAGCAGTAGGTCGTTTTGTGGAATGTTTGTTTGTGGTTTGTTTGCTTAATGCCATACTGTATATAATCGAGTCTGGACAAGACAATCCAGTGATCAACATCACTAGTATCGATCTATGCAATTGGGAGACAGTGAGTCAGTGAGCCTGATCACCCGATCCCATTAGTCACCTCTTACGACAAGCATGGGTTGCTGAAGTCCCGGATCTTCACAGGTCTGTTTTGTGGAATGGCACATCATGCCATTAATTGATAGTGATTTTTACAAGATGAGCTGATAAATAAAATACAGAACAAAATCCCCAGATTAAAAGTGAGGTGAAATGGGGTTTAATGTTGCCTTCAGGATCATTTTCACAGAAATGTGTGTGCCTTCTTGTACTGGTGAAGTGAGTGAGTGAGTTTTAGTTTTACGCCACTTTTAGCAATATTCCAGCAATATCATGGGGGGGGACATCAGAAATGGGCTTCACACATTGTACCAATGTGGGGAATCGAACCTAGGTCTTCGGCGTAATGAGTGAACGCTTTAACCACTAGGCTACCCCACCGCACCATACTGGTCAAGATTAAACCACTGACACAACATGCACTAATTTCAGCATCATACCCAACTCCAGATACATCACTTACTGATTCTGGTCCGACCACTCGTTTTATCCCCTTAATGCTGAATACCAACCACGGAAGGCTACATGTAGCATCTGTTAATATATTAATAACAGAACCAGGGGATTGAACCATGGACTATCCACTACACCACCGATGCAGTAACTGTGACTAAAACCTAAGTAGAAGTGAACATTCACTGCCTAAAGAGACCCCTGAAGATCCGTGTTAGAATTGATCTTCAGTAACCCATGCGTGTGGTAAGAGTTGGGTAATGAGATTGGGTTGTCGAATCGCTGACTTGGTTGACACATGTCATTGCATCCCAATTGTGTAGATCGATGCTCATGCTGTTGATCACTGGATTGTCTGGTCCAGACTTCATTATTTACAGACCTCCGCCATATAGCTGGAATATTGCTGAGTGCCGCGTAAAACTAAACTCACTCACACACTCTCTGCCTGAAGAAGTATTCCATGTAACGGGACCAAAACTGAACCATTTCAGTACCAACTGGCAAACCTGTGGTTGACAAAACCATCACAGGTGATGGAGCATGTACAATGCGAATAGGGAAACAAGTCAGATTTTATTATGATGACGAAAGTGAAAACCATGGTTAGGGATAACTAATGATAAAAAGACTCTCTTTCATCGTCTCTTCAAGCTGTTTCTTCTGTAGCTCATAAAGCAATAAACAAAAATAATGAACCTAACAGAGCCCAGTTTGTGTACTATCTGGGTGTGTATCAGGCGTTATACACCAGTTCAAAGTGCTCTTTTTCCCCATTGTTACACATCCTGAAGCTGTCATTGGTGGTGATCAGACAGAAGCACTGTGGTACACGGAAGATAAGCGTGACAGCAGTGCACTTGGATTGTCTGGCAGCAGCCTAGCAACATCGCCAACTGAATGGATGATGATAGTGACAAGGTACACAGAGAGGCGATGGAGTTTAGACAGCAGCAGGACTGGTATCTTGGTGTAGGCAAACCAGCGACAGACGTCAATGTTAACCAGCCAATCACAGCTGAGAACTGGGGCACTGATAAACACTGGGTACAATGGCCTACTAAATCATGTCTATAGCTACCTTTCCCAAAGTACAATTAATACCAGTTTTTTTGCACCAATCTTCATTTGGACACCAAAAACTAGACAAACTTGTCTTCCAGAGTACATTACATCTGTGCCATTTTGAAACTTGGTCAATAATTGTATTTCTTAGTTTCTATTCTACAGTCACTTTGGACAAAATAAAATAAGTATTTTGATTGAACTGATGCTTCACTATATAAAGATTTCATGCCTGTGCAAAAACAAAGCATGTACGTAACAGATGGTGTAACTGTAAGGTTTAGACTCTCATTACTGGTGTCTATTAGTGAGTGAGTGAGTTCAGTTTTACGTCGCTTTTAGCAATATTCCAGCAATATCATGGTCTGGGACACCAGAAATGGACTTAACCCTTTGTACACATCTAGGGAATCGAACCCGGGACTTTGGCGTGATGAGGGAACGTTTTAACCACTAGGCTACCCCAGGCTTTTATTCCATGTCATTTATTTTCGTAGATTGGCATAGTATTTTGATGAATTAAGGACCAAATAATATTTTGGCATGCTAAACAGAAGCAACTATGCACAACAAATAGCAGCATCTTGGATGAGTTCCATCACACAAGAACCATGACAACCAGTATGTTGATTGGTGATGGTCACGTGTCAGCCTTCCGTTACCACGGCAACTGGTATGTTGTTAGACGCAGGTTGACAGTCACATGTTCGCATCATGTAACCACGACAACTACATAACCCTCTCTCAATTTATATTGAAGAAATAACAATTATCACAGATCACTGCACAAATCGTAGCTAATGTCTCAATTTCCTCGGAAAAAGAAGAAAAAAACCACTGGGGAATTATCAGTAATGGACACCGAGAAGAATGTGACATGTAAAATGTCTGTGTCACTTCCCCAGTATATCCAACAGTTGCCTTGCCATTAATGTGTTGCTATCAACAAACCTGGCACATCATGCCATGCTGCAAACTACAATCAATATTAAACAGCCCTTGGCGGTCTTCCATTATTTCACTTCCGCCCCTGGCCTTCTCCTGCTAGGCTGTATTCAGAAATCATCAGAAAATGCAGAAAGTAAACAAAACTGTCAATAACTTTCAATTGATTTGGAATCTACACTGTCAGCTCTGGATTTCAGGCAAGAAAAACTGCAAATAAGTCCTACACTTAGACAAATACGTATTTTTCTGATTTCATCCCATCACAATTAATTCTGTGCAAACTGTTTGATGAGTGCATGGAAACATCCTTCCTAACATGCATAGGACAACAAAAGCAACGGACGGCTGCAGTAGGAACAGAAAAAAATTAACATAAAAGCTGACTTGTCTGATAAATCTTCAAAGCTTCAAGTTACCAATTTCATCTTTCAAAGAAGACAGCATTAAACAAGTTCTTAGAAAGAATATAATGATAATATCTGGTTTAAAGAAAATATTTCTTAAGATGCAGAATTACCTAGTAAAAGGAAATGCATGTCTGAGATGGCAGCCGATTGTGGCAGACAAAATCTGTTTAATGTTTCTGACTAAAGGTTTAGGAAAGGCATGTAAGATGACTCCCTTGGATACGGGGAAAGGCTTTGACAAAAACAGAGGCATGCATTTTCAACTATAAAAAACAAATCACTAACTTCTGATAGTGATATAACTACTTCAAATTTTCACATTAAACCGCACCAATATGAAGATTATAGGTGTGCTTCAATAGAGTATTTTCAATGTCTATGTTCAACCTTTACAATAACTAAGATATATATAAGAAATTGAGTTGCAAATTCTTTGTGTTTGGTGTTTACTGCCTCACTCAGTATGCCAGCCATTTGAAGAAGTCAGCAAACATGAGACTGGACCAGACAATCCAGTGACAGTCCAGTCATAATCATTGATCTACTATTGGAATACCATCACATGCATCACCCAAGCTAGCAAGGCTGAGCACAGGGTCCCATTATTACATGATTATGATAAACCTGACGAAGGTGCAAGAATTAGCTCTGAAACGCTGTACAAAGAATACAAAGAAATTGTTATCCATAAAAACATGTCATGTATTCATGTTTGTCCTTGTAAATGCCTTTCAAGAAAAAAAGAAGGTTTCCTTGTGACCAATTCTAAAATGAAATCTAAATACAACAAATATCTAACCATATCTAGGATGCTACAGAATACTTACATATGAAAGACCATACAGGAAGAGCTTTGAGGTTTACTGTTGTACATTTTCATCAGGTGGCCCTCAGTTCTGACCATTAATCATGTTACGGTTATGACTACGACCACTGACTTTGACTGAGCAATGGCAAGCCACTGAGACACCCAATCTGGCATAGTCGGCTCTCAATACCAACATGTATAGGTCCGTCTCCTATTCTCGCATGTTTCCTATATTCTCGCGGTAAACACGTTTTCTGCTGAAATCATGGATGCGTGACACTTACTGGTTGTTTACATCACCGACTGGTAACTAGGAAGTTGACCAAGTCTGTGAGTGATCAAAATCTTGCAGTGTCACGAATATTGGGGAGTTTATACCAACTTTGACATATCATTACTTTTTCCCGCCCTTTCCGGCAGGATTGCTCTTACATACACTCAATAACATTAATTCCTGGTAATACTGCGAGAATGGGAGAAGCCTCGTTTCATCAATGGCGGATGGCATTGTTTATCACCGGGCTCATGAGTGGTAATTCACCTGATGGATCTAGCAGCTGATAGATGTAGATGTTAGAGGAGAAGGCCCTTCATTTAAAACCAACAAGCATTCATACGATAAGAATTGTTTATGTTATTTTTCAGCCGATATCCGTAAGTACCGCGAGAATAGGAAACGCCTTCCTAATACTGGGGACAATTCTTCCCAAGAATCCCTGTTTGGAGTGAGTGAGTGAGTTTATTTTTATACTGCTTTTAGCAATATTCCAGCAATATCACAGCTGGGGATACCAGAAATGGGCTTCACACATTGTGCTCATGTGGAGAACCGAACCCGGGTCTTCAACAAATGAACGGATGCTTTAAACGTGAAGGCTAACCACCGCCCCTACAGGAGGTAATGGGAATCAAACCCATGTCTTCATTGTCACAAGCAAACGCTTTAACCACTAGCTTACCCCATCTCCCCTCCCCATTTGGAGATCATCAGGACATTTACCCTGATCCCATGTTGCAGTTAGGTTGATCAGTAAAGTCACAATCACACAGATCAGTCACAGAATCGATGTCACAGAAACTCTGATTTCTTTGGTCAATTCACATTGGTGATATGACATCACAGATATTTTTGGTCACAGAGGTCAGCTAAGGTCAGCTAAGGAGGACCACCCAATCCCATTAGTCACCTCTTACGAAAAACATGGGTCAGTGAAGGCCAATACATGAGAACGCCACCCCACAATGAAGCAAATCATATATGGACACAAATGAACATACACATACTGTGCCTCATACTTAGTGAGTGAGTGAGTATGGTTTTACGCCACATTTAGCAATATTCCAGCAATATCACAGCTGAGGACACCAGACACTGTGTGCCAACTACGGGTCTTCAGTGTGATGAGCGGACACTTTAACCACTAGTCAGGGTTAGAAATCTCTTTGAAAAGTCTACTAGCCAGGAGGACTAGTGACTCTAACGAAACTACTAGTCCTCACACAATTTTGGTAGTCCTCAAATTTCAATCTTTAATAAACCAAAAAATTAATTTGACTTAGTCAAGCAGTATTGGCAGTATCATAACAAACAAACACACAATATGTTTTGGCATAGTTTAATTCAGTCATGACAGATGGATATGATCATATTGTTCTCATAATACAACTACAACATAAATAAGTTAATATTTAATGAAGATGCAAGCTTACACATTTATAATGTCCAGATATACCACGAAGGGAGCAAAAAATGTTGCGATTTTTTCCATTTGTAACATGTCATAATTATCCCCTTTATTATAATAAGTTTTTCTTTTATATTTTCATGTTTACGTAATCGGAAATCTATTATAAAGAGATTTCTCAAATAATACGTATGGTCGTCTATTTCCCGATACCAGTGGCTTTCCGCTCGGTAACATGATACAACAGTGGGAAATACCTCCGTTTTCGAAGCTTCGTATGAAAAACATGTGAGGCGATTCGTTTGATGGCGGGTATCGTTCAAAAGCTCTGAACATCAACAATATCACTGTACCCTTGCCAAGAGTATTTTCACAGTTGTAAGAAGTGATTTTATTGGACAAAGATTGGTTTCTAATGATGCTTTTCTGTCACGAGTACTACGAGGATCGTGATTGGTCAAAATCACACACGTGACCTAAGGCAGCCAATCATATTACAGCAATGGATACTGTCCTCGTTAACGAAAACTTTTAGATTCAGACGAAAGTTTTGGGTAAATTCATGCTATTCTGAACGTGTTACACACAAGATCACTACCTATACGTATATTATGGACCTTAGTGGACGTATCATGCTAAGTTATGAAATGTGACAAAAATGCTTCATGCATATATTTTAGCATTAAACATTCGTGTCCGAGCACGAAGTTCGAGGCGACAAAAGCCGAGATCTCTCTTGAATTACATTACACGATCGCACAATAACGATGGAAATAGTATGTTATAATGTACGGAGTTTGAGGCGACAAAAGCCGAGATCTCTCTTGAATTACATTACACGATCGCACAATAACGATGGAAATAGTATGTTATAATGTACGTTTGACAACTTTTATGAGTACTGTTATTGAATATATTCTTCAGTTTATTCAATTTGTTTGATTATTATCTTGAAACATCGTTACTTTGCTCTTTGACAACTTTGATGACAACCCGTTGCCGAAGCATGTGTCTGAGAATTATTTTTTTTTAATAACATTGCGAAAAATAGCTTTTAATTCTAATTCTGTAGATAATATATGGTCATTTGAAATGTAATAAGTGTTTTCAGACATTGTGAAAAGAGATAGATTTAAGTAATGAATCATATGTTTGTTAGGTTCCTAAACTTAAATATCATTTTGATGCGACTACTGCCTGGCTGGTTTACCGGCCTACGGTGTCTGGCGGACTAGTACTGTTAGATGTTTTGGTAGTCCTCCGGAGATTTACTAGTCTCGGGCTAGCGGGCTAGCGGACTAGCTTAGATTTGGAACCCTGACCAGGCTACGTCATCACTCCCCTCATACTTCGAGGTAAGGGGGCCAATAACCTGTATAAATATACTTGGAAACATGTCACAAATACGGGGAAATAGGGGGTACACTTGTGAAACATGGATGGTCACCTGTGTACAGGAGTCAATGACCACCAATCCGGAGCACTTATCTGCGAGTAACCCAACGCATGCTGTACATACCTTGGAAGAAGTGTGCGAGATCAATGAGGTCTGCGAGTAACCCTACGTGTGCTGTACATACCTCGGAGGAAGTGTGCAAGATCGATGAGGTATGGGGGTAAATCTACTCGTGCTGTACATACGCATGCTGTACATACCTCGAAGGAAATGTGCGAGATCGATGAGGTCTCGGTTCTCATCATTGCCAGTCCACTTCTTGATGGGGAAGGCGTTGGACGGGTTGAGTTGGTAGGATCGGTTGTTCCAGTCTATCACGATCACCCTGGACAGGTCGCGGTTCAGACAGGACAAGTCCTGTGGGAAAAAAACAGGTTGTGAATGAATGCAGGATGAAGGAATGTGACTTTGTGCTACTGTCAACAAACTGAATCACTGAAATGTAAACTAGAGGTCAACAAAATGAACACCAGTCAAGTAACAAACGATAATGAGGCCTGTGAGTGAGTGAGTGAGTGGGTGGGTAAGTGGGTGGGTGAGTGAGTGAGTGAGTGAGTGAGTGAGCGAGTCTTATTGCTGCTTTAACAGCAATGTCACAGCGGCAGACACCACAGGCGTGAAGAGTGAACACTTTAACCACTAGGCTACCCCATCGCCCCCTGCACTATGGAAGATGACACTTGAGCATACAGTTCATGAGAAAACAAAATGTATAGAATGATCTTAGCACTATGACTACAGCAACTGCATTACTTAACAAACACTTATGATAGCTGAAGTGACATGATTGCTTTGTACAACATGGTCCAGGTGCTCTAAATATGCTTTCCCAAATTATTGAATAATCCTGTGACAAAACTACATGAACTACATCAAAGGGACTGAAATTTCACACAATTGTTTTAAAAATGAAGACATCATCTCATTCTATTTTCATTAAAGGAGAGACTCTATTTAACCAGTTAATACACAATCATGATTCTCTGATGAAAAATCAACAATTCATGACATTTTCCTATACATAAATAATCACACTCCCACACACTGTTACCGTAATAATTTTCATCATACTTTTTCATCTGTACAATCATCATTAATTATTCTGTTCAAAGGACCCACCCTTGAAACAGCAGTCATGCAAAGGGCAGACTGTTTTCCTAATCAATTATTGAACCAAGAGACACCGATAATAATGATTAGTCTGCACTTTTCTGATTTGAAACAAAAAATAGTGAGAATCTCGCTGACAATGTCACCACAACCTACTTGGCAAAACAACAGATATTGAAAGTAAACGACACACTTTGCTCCATATCCATGGAAACCAATAAACAATAAGCAAACATTAGTTTCGTGATCTTTGATGATAATGATCTGAAATCTATGACATTTCATCATCTCCTGGTGCAACTGATTGCAATCTTATAATTTTCTCAACTTAGTGTCACATTTCAAACGTGCATATTTCTGCAAACAGTAATCAAATTCATTACAATAAAAAAAGATGACATTCACTGAGCACTGACATATATACTGAGAGAAACAAATAAAGGATCACAGGAAAATTCAAGCGTTCCTTTACTATTTTCCAGTTTTCATCCCCACAGTGCTATTCAAGGCTGGTGATGAAAGCTCGAAAATATTAAAAAGAAATAAAGTGATAAAAAAAAAATATTAAAGGAACACTTGACTAACAGGATCGAATGGTCAGGCTCACTGATTTGGTTGACACATGTCATCGCACCACAGTTGCATGGACCAATGCTCATGATGTTGATCACTGGATTTTCTGGCCCATATTCAATTATTTATAAACTGATGCCATACATGTGATATAGCTGAGTGTAGCAGTAAACAACAAACAAATTGAAATAGGCTCCCCAAGCCATACTGGATGCATCCATAAACAGGTGATTCATAGGTGTCAAACTTACTCAGGAATGCAATTCATCCACCAACGAAATTTCTGTATAAAATCTGTTGCTATTTAGAAAATATATGAGTACTGGTCCTCTTTTGGAAAGATTGTAACAAAGTATCTATCAGTGGTAGTCTGATTAATTGAAATAATAGAAGATTGGTCGCAGTGACTAAATGACCAAGCAATCGATCATGTTTCTCCTAATCGAACACAAACAATTCTGGAACACTTGTTTTCATTAACAAATATTTCACAAGGCTGGTTTTGTCTGTTACATTTATTAAGCACTACAAACTCGTTCCGAGTCATGATTGAATTGATCTTAAAGACTCCAAGAAATTTATGTTCGTAATATACTTGTCATCCTTTAAAGATGTGAAATCTTGCCAAAAAACCCCAAAGAACTACATGTTTTTTACCTTATTTTTGGTGTGCATTACTAACCATTTATTTTCGATGATTTATTGGTTGTAATGAAGCAATCATCAATTATGAGATTTTAACCAATTCCCAACACTAGTATATCTATAACCCTCTGTATGTCACACCTTGAAGCAATGTGGGATGGCCTAATATCAAATTTAACACAAGCATTGTCACTAAGGTGACATAATCCCCCGCCACAAATTATCAAATCAAACTTAAAAAGTAATGAAAGTTTAAGATGAAGTTAAATATCAACAAAAACATGACCAGTCAACCTCTCTTGATATCTTGCTCTTTAGTTGTTCATGTACACAAATATTTTCAAGACTGACTTTGACCTTGACATGAATGTCATAGTGTATGAAATATGCAAAAGTGGTACTAAAGCAATTGCCTATTGAAAAACATTCAAGGGAAGTCTTGAAAGTCTATGAAGAAAATCCAGTGAATTCAGGCTAACATGCTGAAATCTTCAAAGTGTCGCAGTGACCTTGAAAATGCGAAGAGGACCAAAACTGACTGGGCCCTGCGCCTTCCCTGAATGAAGCTTAGCGTCAAATATGAAGAAAATCCAGTGAATGGTGTTTGAGGTCTCTCGCTGACAAGCATAACATGCAGGTTAACATGCTGAAATCTTCAAAGTGTCATCATGATCTTGAAAATTATGTGAAGGTCACCAAAATCAACTGGGCCCTGTGCCTTCCCAGATAACGCTTGGTGTTAAATATGAAGAAAATCTAGTAAACGGTTCTTGAGATATCTCACTGACAAGAGTAAAACGTTAAACTCCCCTTGTGACCTTGAAATGAAGGTCAAGGTCACCAAACCTGACTGGGACCTTTCTTATACTATGATGAACCTAGGTACCAAATATGAAAAGAATCTAGTCAATGGATCTTAAGATATTCCAATTCGTACGGACGGACGGAACCTACACTAAACGTGCGGCGGGGGATAATTATCAATGATTGTGCATCAATTCATGGATCCGCGCATCTTCGCTAAGCCCCGCCCCCTTGGATACTGTCGCGAGGCACCCCAAGCTTTCTAACAAAATGGCCACCGCCGAGCAAAGCAATTGTCTCGCATGCATTCCTGAAAACTTTTCTGTGTCCTTTTTACCGATTGCTGATCAAATATCGACTAAGAGCATGCAAAGGGGACTTAATTATTACCAGCAAGGCTACATTCATGAGGTGACACTTCAGTTCCCGACCGCATTATCCGCCAAGTGTTGGCCATCACTCAGAAAAACAACTCGCTCTCATCGACTGTCACTTGACCTTGATGTCGAATCGAATCAAATATGCTTATTGCTCTTGTAAAGCTTGGTAAGTTGCTATTTTCGCAGATGATTTTATACCTGTTACTTAAAATGTGTGCGCACGATTTTAATTTATTGTGATGCATAGTACAGCCAATCTTGAAAGGGTCTAGAACGTAGAGGCCACACTTGTCAATGTCAAAATACCGCTTGGTTTTTAATTATATAATTGTGAGAGGCCCTAAATCAAATGTTGTTTATGAAGTTTTAGTCATTTCTAATAATAAAATTCTCAAAGTGAATTAATGCAAATATACCACAATTTTTTGGTCCAGCATTTTCCCAATAAATCCATGCTTGAAGAAAATCTTAAATATTAGGTTAGAACATTTGTATGGTCAAGGCCTTATTTATTTGAACCAGTCTACTGAGTATCAAGTAAACCATAAAATCTACTCATAATCTGCTAAATAAATTTGATCTTTGCTATTTCTCTTTCAGATTAAGTGGGAAGTGTTCCCATATAATAGGTCTGATCAAGACATTGCAGGGATTCAAGCTCCACAACTTCAAAGAAATTCCATCTGATTTGAGTTCCACATCCATGCCACAACAATGGAACAAGCCAAGGGGAGACAAAATCTTGCCAGTGCCTATCAGCCAGGTTGTGGTTGCTAGACCAACTGAGCAACGCAAGCGGAAGCCAATACAATGCCACACCAACATGAATTACAAGTATAGTTTTATTCTTATTTCATCAGACATTTCGCTCAAATTGATAATTCAAGATATCCATGAAACATATGTACATTTTTTACTTGATTACAAGTTAAGAATGATAACTGCCCTTATGTAACAGAATGAAGGAATTCTCTATTCATGATAGAAAATCTGCATTTTTAATGATGTGAATTCATGTTACAAACACAACTGTAAGATGATTTTTCGTATATGATCTGTATGTATATCTGTGTATTTCAGGCTACCAAGGGTTGATATGGCAAGTCTTCAAACTCTACAGGGCACACCACTCCTGCATAGAACAGCACAACATGATTTGCCTTCGGTGCAAACTCCTATGGGAGATGTGCCAATTGGATCTGCACTATCTTATCAGGTATATATTTACATATCTATGTCAAAGAGGTGCAACTAACTTAAAACATTTCAGAAGTGTTTGAAAGTTTGTTTTATTACGAAGTTGCTGTATACAGTAGTAGCTTGGCCTCATTGAACAACTTAGATATGCACCATTACTTAACAAAAACATCCTGAAATAATGTCAGGTGGCAACAAACAGACCAAATCTTGTTTATCCTTGAGAATAGAGATGTTGGAACACAATTTGACAATAATTTATATTGTTTCACCTTGTTAATAAGTCTCTCAATGTGAACTCTGTGCTTTGCCACTTTTTCTGTACATGAATTTTCTCCCATGTTGAATTGTTTTCCTGTCTTTCCTTTTGGAGGTATATTCAGTTTCAAACCTAGTTTTTCAACTTCATTCTTGATAGAAAACCTTTGTCAACCATGATGCCATCACCTTCATTAATGTGTCCAATTTCTTTCATTGACTTAATGACATCATAAAACCCAGACTGTTCAGTGATTGCTTTATCAGATATTGAACCAGTAAATAGTTCTGAAACAAACATTAAGCTTCCATTTGGATCACATCCAATCAAACCCTTAAGAGTAGAAGAGGACTTGTAATCACTGTAGACTTGACTTTGCAAACTTACAGCACATGGGGTCTGTGTTTTGACTTCTGTCCCATCAATGATAATTAATGTTGTTGGATAGTCTCTACGGTATTTTACAGGCATATGTTGTATTATATCATCCCTATGTGGCCATATTGGAATCTGCCCTAGCTTGAAATATAACAGATCAAGCCATGTGTTGAAAATGATACCTGCTGACTGAGGACTTAGTCCAAAGCTTAACTGCAATGTCTTTAAGTCCAAACCCATGCCTTAACCGACAGAGAGTAAGCAATAATGCATCCTGAGGTTTAAGTCTCTTGATGTCTTTTTCTCCCTGATGAATAATCAATGTCCTCTCCTTGGGGTAGCAGAAATGTTAGTAGTGTGAGAAATCTCACATATGTAACACCTGTATAGTGTTTGAATAAGTTTTGATTTTTTTTACCCCTGGTGATCACAACATCTATGGAAAATAATGATGATTGTTGAAGCTCTCTGTAATTCCTGAATTGTCTTCTCATGTGATGCCACTTTGATGTTCAACTCTCTTATTTCTCTTGACTTGTCTTGTAATTGTTGCTCCAAATCATGTTTCTCTGCTGCCAGAGCTAGTACACGCCCATTGCTGATATCCCTGAAACGACAAGATATTTGAATGATTTATTTATAATTTCAGATCAAACACATCAAGAATGCAACACCAACTACACACATATGTGGGAACACCAGTGTTATCTTGCCACCACCAGTGAAGCTTACCCAGGAATTTGCTCATCTAAATGATGAAGATACAATCTGTAAGGATCCCAAATCTCTTGAAATGAAAACACAGAGTCAGTCAAATGAACTCTGGTTTGATGAACGAGGGAAACGCCTAACTGCATCAAGTTTTGGAAAGGTTTTGTCCAGAAAAAAGACCAAATCATGGCTTCTTGAACTCTATTTTCACTAGAAGAAATATAAAAGCACAATCACTAGAATATGGGAAGAAACATGAAAAAAGATGCTAAGGCAAGGTACCATCAGAAATATCCAGACAGACATTTTCATGAATGTGGGTTTGTTGTAAACAATGAGTTTTCATTTTTGGGAGCAACACCTGATGGCAAGATTTGTGACAATGGTGAAAGTGGGATTGTTGAGATCAAATGTCCCTACTCAGCACGCTAACATGACCATTGACAATGCTTGTGAAGCTTTTAGACTTTTTCCTTAAAAAGGAAAATGGTGTAACTTCTTTGAAAAGATCTCACCATCACTACGCATTGCAAGTACAAGGTCAGTTGATGGTTACTGGGTGCAGGTTTTGTGAATTTATTGTGTTCACTCAACTGGACATGCATGTGGAGAGAATAACTCCAGATATTGCTTTCATGCAGTCAATGTTAATGAAACTAGCCATGTTTTACAGAGATCATGCATCCTACCTAAAGAATGCAACCACCGAGGAATAAATGAACACAGAATCTCCATATATACATACATGTTTCATCAGTCTGTGTAGATGTGTTGATCAGGAAGTCAGTGGACTTGTTTTCTGCTTGGTCATTGGGTAACAATACCTGAACTGAAGCAGTCGACTGGGTGGATGGCTTGCTGGTGTTTAGTCTGAAAAAGCTTAATGTATAATGTTTGACATGACTATGATGATGTTTATTATTTATTGTCATTATGAATATTATTTACATGTATCTTTCCATCATTAAAAACATGAATGAATCTACTCTGATGTGTGTAATTTGTGAAACGTGATACAAGTCAATATTCTCTGAGAACAGACTACACTACATAATGAAAACATACATCTACAGTGAATAAGGGGATAATGAAAACTCTGGGCACTCTGAAAAAAGATATGAAAGACATAGAAATAGCAATGAAACCTAAAATTTGACTGAAGTTATTTAGAATAAATTTGCATACATACATTTCCAGAAATATTAATAATTATCCCACAATTATGATTTAGGCCTCACGGTAGATCTATATATGTATTTTCCATTACTGAATTTGAAGAATGCATCTAGTTTGATTTGTGTGTAAGTTTCTAAATACACACATGTCAATATTCTCTCCGACAAGAGATGACCTCTGCTTTTATCCGATATGCAGGAGTGTACTGGCTTACGCGTTTCAGGGGTGGTTTCCTGACTGGCTTGGGGAAGGCTCCGCCTGCAGGCACTGGGTCAGGATATCCTCTGCTCGGTCCTTTTCCTCCTACAAAATGCTGGAATAAAACAAAATACTATCAGATAAGACCAACCCGAAATACATGTCCATTGTCCAGCTATCTACATCTAATTACGCATCAGGCCTAAAAATTACGCCGAATCAGAGATCGAATTTCCTTTGCCAGAAATGGTTACAAATGAATTCTCCAGATATATTATTGTCTCGATCTCGTGTTATAACAGTGAACATTCTGTATAAAACTAAGTAAGCCTTTTTATAAATATTATTTAAGTGCAATAATTTTACCTTAGAACATACAGCTTTGTGTTGATTTATTCTGGATAAATTTAGCTGCTCATGAGACCTACCGCAAGCTTTAATCCAGCTTGCATTTTTCTTCATTCCGCTTTGACAGTTGGAAATCGGACGAAAAAACCTCCTTCCAGTCTTTCAGGGTAACGTTCGTCAGCATTGCATGTCCCCCACGCGCATCGTAATACCATTTTCTGTGCTTTTCACCACACGGTAACTAAGGACAACGGCGTTTGTTTGTGGGTAAAATATGGCGGGCGTTTGATAGCAGATCGGCACAGAATGGAAGCTTTTTTCTGATTGGTTGATACCAGCTGTCAATCAATATGCTCGGATCCATGAATCCCCTTGGGGATCAACAAAATGAAAAACAATCCAAATGGAGCCATGAACAATACTTAATTTCAGGGAAGGGCTGATGTAATCAAGACCCAATTATTCTTGATTTCTGTTGGATTCGTGTTTAATTCAGGGTCTGGGAGACAGACAACTAGGGATGACATCTGTCTTGTATCCTATTTCAGGGAAACAGTTGTTCGAGGAAATTCTTCGAGATGTTAGGCACTGGCACAGGTGGAGTAGGAGTTATCAGCATATCCGATCTTAGAGGAATATCTGCTGGTGCAGCTCCAGAAGGTGCAGAAATTACCTAAGCTATTTCCATCCCTGTTTTATGAGTTTCTTCAGAGCAGCGTTTCTCCATACATACCCTATAGGTGGCATGAGGTTTCTCCTTTACTGTGAATTTGCTGAATGGCTTACAAGTTGGGGTAGGGATTGGGAAAGCCATCCTTGGGCTCAAACAAGCACTGTGCCCTATGATACTTACATGTGTATAAGCACACCTTACATCTTACCAAGGATTTCAAAAGAATTGAAAGCTGAACAGTAGTATACACAATAGCGGAACGGGCTCAGGCCTTCACAAGCCAGTATTTTCCAAATTAAGGCCCTGTGAAGTTCCTAATCCCGTTCCACTATTGTGTATACTACTGGTGGACGTACATGTAAACTATAATGAAAATCGGTTGAATAGTTTAGGAGATATTCCGTTTTAAGTGAGCATGGGGTTTCTGTCTGTGGAAAGGTTAATAATTATCCAACGAAAAATTTGCCGCATTCTGTTATAAAGTGTTGAAATAAAATATTTTAACAAAATGTCCTCTCGGTCACACAACCTCAACGAGGAGAAAGAAATAGATAGATAGATTGCAATGTGCAAAGCTTCCTCCCTCGTGGGATTGCATCCAACTGCGAGCCTCAGATTACCTTACTTGTTGTTTCTGGAAATCTTGAGAGGCCGGTTGGGATACGAACTCATGGCTGTTTCCTAATACACTGAAATTCTGGACCAAACAAACTGAAAAACCTTTGTATCAGCGCCCAAAGAACAGTCCGAAATTTAACATGTGGGGTGGCAAATCTGTGTTAGGGGCAACGCCCCTCGGTGTATTTGAAGGGAATATGAACAGTGAGCGGTACACAGATATTCTCGAGGGTCATTTACTTCCATCTGCTCACGTGTTCTATGGAAACTTTTGGATTTTCCAGCAGGACAACGACCCAAAACATCGTTCAAAGCATTCACAGGCCTGGTTTCGTACCCAAAATATGACATTATTAGATTGGCCAAGCTATAGCCCTGACCAAAATCCAATAGAAAATGTTTGGGGACTTATGAAGGAAAGTGTCAATAAGAAAAATCTGACAAATATTGCTGAAATGAAAGACTGACTGACTGACTGACTGAGTTTGGTTTTACGCTGCTTTTAGCAATATTCCAGCAACATCACGGCTGGGGACACCAGAAATGGGCTTCACACATTGTACCCATGTGGGGATTCGAACCCGAGTCTTCGGCATGATGAAATGAAAGAAGAGGTGGTCCAATATTGGGACAGCATGGACCACGACTCTCTAACTTCTTTTCATTATATATAACTTTATTCAGTAGTTTGTTTTCTGGACGGGCGACTAACATATTACCCGTTTGATCTGGTAATGTTGATACGTACATCCCCCTTTTTGTACCTGGAATAAAACTATTCAGTACAACTCCCTTATTTTTTAGTTCTATGATATTACCATCATCATCCATGACAAGATGGGGGGTGGTAAGGATAATATCGATGATCCAGTTCAATTGAGATTTGATTATCACTTCTCGTCGTTTGTACACGTCTTGTAAGTGCAGGACGTATAAGGTGTTTTCCTCGCTGGGCAGATCGAATCCCCGCATGTCCCCGAGATTGGCTAGCGTTACATTGGGATGATGGTTCATTGTTTTTTATACAAATTTACGAAATGGTTTTCAATTGGTTTTCGGATAATTCCTCGGACGTCCACTTCAGACCCATAAGATGTATGTTGTCGAGTAGGAAAATTTTAGAGAGCGATATCGTGTCTTACACGGTCACGGTGACTCCCTGCAGACTGGTGTAGGCGTGGCAGGAACTCACCGCAGCCAAGCCATCGTCAAGAGATTCAATCGCACCTTAGCCGAATGCCTGTTCTCGCACCAGTACTCTCGGGATTTAATCCATCCCGGAAACAGAAATACGGAATGGGTTGTACACTTGCCACGAGTGGTGGATGCCATCAAGAACGAAGTCACCAGACTCGTGTGCAAGAGACCCGTCGAAACCATCAAATTGAAATCCGTCGAATCGTCGGCAGTGGCACGTCGCGATAAAACAGAGAAAACATTACCAGACCGGGTCAGCATTAGGTACTTGTACGAGCCTGGCGAATACGAGGGAGACGGCAGAAAACGTGCCACCTATCCGATATGGTCCATGAAAACGTACAATGTAGACCTTGTCGACGGCGAACCAAACTTGTACTACTTGAAAGACAGGCCGCTAAGAGGATTTGTCAGAGAAGAGTTGATGATCGTACCTCACGACACAGTCCCTTATCGATTGCCCACTGTATGATAGTTCTCATCATGATTTTATCAGTTTTGTATGTAAAATGAGATTCTTATAATTTCTGCTTGATTTTTTATTATTTTGCTTGATTTCTGCTTTGATTTTTGCTCATTTCTGCATCATTTTCCGTGATTTTTACTTGGAATTTGGAATATGATACTAGTTGGTACATAGTTTTCCATATAGACAATGGTGTAGATATAGAGTACAAACCCAAAAATGACTCCAAAAAGACACCTATCGCAAGACCAAGTGGAAGAGATTCGCAAGATGCGTGGAAAAATCTTGGCACGAGAAACAAAACAATGATTTGGAACCGGTTCCAATCGACTGTACAAAATATGGAATACAGCTGCATTACGACCCTCTTGCCCCCTCCAACCATGCAGGACTTCTACAACCACTTGGGGAAGATCGAGGCTCGTGCAGAGCAAACCGCGATGCTGATCTACATCTTGTCTAGGTTGGATGACGAAGATGAAAAAATAGAAGAAGAGACGCGTCTGGAAGGTGCAGCAGATGCTAGAATTGACCCAAAAGTGGACCTACCTTTTGATAGCCACCTTGTTTCTCTGGATGATCGTAACTTAAGTCAATATTTCAGAAACTATTACACCGATTTTCGTTACAGTTTACATGTACATCCACCAGTAGTATACACAATAGCGGAACGGGATTAGGGACTTCACAGGGCCTTAATTTGGAAAATGTAATTTTTAGAGTAAAATTGATATTTTATACTTATCCTGACTCATGCTCTTTTGCTTGTCTTCTTCTTCTTGCGAACATAGTGGAAACACTTGTATCTCCTTAATTGAAGCTCCCTTCAATGTAAAATCACTAATCAGTACTCACCACGAGTTGCTCCCCTTGATCCCTTTTGGCGGGAAAGGTGTCGCCACCTCCTACCTCGTGCTTCACTCTCTCCTGATTTTGCGAGCCCAACACTTGAATTTACAGGGAAATCCAAAGTGTTATGTGGGGAGGATGGGAGGGCTGATCTCATGAGTCAGGATAAGTATAAAATATCAATTTTACTCTAAAAATTACATATTTTTCCTTATCCTGACTCATGCTCTTTTGCTTGTAGAATCCTACGGAACGGAGGAGGGAGTAACAGAATACTTTGGATTTATAATTAGTGATTTTGTATATAACTGTAATAACTGGTATGGGAACTTCATGAAGGCATAGACTTAGGATATTTCCTGTATAT